GCTCAATTAGAGTTATACAGCATAACTCCAAAACCTTTCACTCAGCTACTGAATATTTTCCAGATATTATTGATTAAATTTCCAGAATGCTTTCATGTCAACATGAATTATATTATTTTAAGTCCTAGTGTTCCATGAATCATTTAATGCAGTTCTAGATCTAATAATATCTTAACCACCTTGCCCATGTCTGACACCTGTGCTGTTTTACATGTTTGGTGTTAGCAGTAAAGCTGGAATAAGAAGGGTTTTTCTCCTTTGAAGGAGTGGGAAAATAGAGAAGCCATATGGTTCAAAAAGCCTAATGAAGTTTTGTGCTTTCCAGAGCACAAACAAAACAGCTCCATCAATTTGATCTCTGTCATCAAAACTGACATGCAGTTGGTTTTAAAACACTGCCTCCTTCTCAAAAACCAACAAGGGATTGATTTTCTCTCAACCAAAAGTATTTTCACCAAGACGAACATGAGCATCTGGTCATTGCATTAAATGTCTGGGTCCTTTGAAAGAGCAAGTCAGTGATACCTTGTGTTTACTTGCAGAGCTTGACAAGAAAGACACAAGGGGAACATTTGTTTTCAGGGGAAACTGCTCCAGTGAAAAGCAATCGGTTTGAAACGCTACATGAACACAACTGTACCACTAGAGACAGGGGACATAAGTAATCCATCAAAAATGGTCTGAGCAACAAGAATGCACAAGGGCACACTGGGAGACAAGGAAATAAGGTGCAAAATAGCATAAAGAACTACTGGGTTCAGCCAGTATTTACAAGGATGCATGGAAATGAATGATACTTCAGCTCATATGTCTGACAAAGATTTAGGTTAAAGTTACCCTTTTCTTGGCACTTGGGGATCAATATTTGTTTGCATAGGGCTCAATCTTACACCCACAGAGGCCAGTGGGAGTTTGCCATTTCCTTCCATAGATGCCTGATGAGGCTCTAAATAACTAGTGTTTCTGCCCAGGGCTTTTCAGTGCCAAATATAATTAATACTATTGTTCTTAACACAATTATATTTGATAATCCAATTTCCCTGAGTACTGAATTGGAGTTTTTGTCCCAGTCTTTCCTGAATTCTAGTCCAACATTTACCCTGTGCCTCCTGGCTTTTTATTTTCATTTGCTTCTGTTGTGCTACCAAGAATAGGCAGAAGCCCTCCACCTTCCCTCACAGAAGCATCTCTTTCCAGATGAGATATTTACTTTCTGGTCCATTTCTTATACTGGCTGTGCAGCAAAGTGCATTTTCCAAGAATCACCCTGTTATCAGGTGATTCAGGTGATAATCCTCCATCAAGCAGCACCAAGTGTCTGCTACATGCCCTGAGCCCACAGCAGTTCCCCCTCCTGCTGCAAACAGGAAAAAGGAGAAATAGAACAAAACCAGGCCAAGAGCCAACCAGTAGGCAGCTGGAAATTGCCCTAAACTCTGTTCTCATTCCCACCATCTCAGAGAAACAGAACTTTGTAGACAAATGCTTGGGATGCTGATCAGGCAAAAGGTGAGCAAGATATCTGATCTCACCCCCTGCTCTGTAACCCTCCCCTTGGCTGCCTCAACATCCTCTAACACACTGAGTTTCACCCAGCTCTTTTCCTTCTCTCAGTCAAGCACCAAAGAGCACATTTCTGTGGCAGCCCCTGCAGAGGAATCTCTGATTACTCAGAGAAATGTCTCTGGGACTCTTTGGGAATGCTCAGCCCAGCAAGTGGCCCCAAAAATCTCATTGCTGGGCCAAGCAAGCCTTTTGAAAATGGTCAAAAGCATTGCCAATGAACCCATGACCACTGAGACAGCATCTGAAGCTTTTTTAATCCTGCCTCCACCAAGAAGATTTCTCAGGAGCCGAGCATCCCTGGGTTACATGCCAGCTCAGAGCTTTGTTTCAATCCAGATATTATTATTCCTGAAGACTCCATGCTTTACAACAGCTCAGCACATGGATCTCCCTGCTGTGTGTTTTCATATGGGTGCTCCAACATTTGTTTTGAGAGCTATCCTGTTCCAACAGCAAACATAAAGATCAGTGTGACCTCTCCTTATCACACAGCCTTTCCTGTGTGGAATTCATTGTGATCTGGACCCCAGTGGCTATTGCATCATTTCTGTTTATGTGTAACCTTTGGCGCTCTGCAATCTTATCTGCCTGCAGCCGGCTGCAGCAGAAGATGCGCAGCAGCACAGCCAGCTCTGGCAATCCTCAAACACTGGAAGGGGCCAGCTAAGAGTGGAGGTCAGTGAATGATTAGCAGAGCAAACCTGCAAGCACCTACAGCTACATGGAAATCAGCTCTCTCCCTGTGTCCCCAGAGGAGGGGAGGCCTGGCTCTGCCCAGCCCGACTCACCGATGACGATGAGGGTGTAGTTGACGTTGGTGCTGCCGAAGCCGTTGGTGGCTTTGCAGATGTAGGTCCCCGCATCCTCGCTCTCCACCTCCTTGATTTTCAGCCCTTGCTGGAGGATTCGGAACCTCGTCCAGCCGCTGTGGATGGTCCGTCCGTCCTTCATCCACATGGTGAGGGGCGGGGGGTCGCCTTCCACCGGGCACAGGAGCTTGATGGTCCTGCCCAGCCTCACGGACTGCCGGTGAATCACTTTATCGGCGATCCTTGGGGGGCCTAGGAAAGAGCAGAGACAGGAACAGCTGTTACGACTTTTGCCAGTGACACAGCACTGATTCAAAGCCGAGTCATCAATCCGGCCACTACACTGACTGCTGTACAGAATAGAAGGTGCTTACCAAAAATCACTTACAACCAAGGCTGAAAATGTCAGCAGTTACAGAGGGGTACAGCAAGATCTGAAGCTGTAGTTTTGCAGCTCATGCTAACCCACCAGGGAAGACTGGTTCTGGGCTCTATTGCTTTTCCAAAATTTCCAGCATTTTCCTGTCACAAGAAGGAGCCCAACACACAAACTTTCCTGGTGTATTTGGTAAAGAAACTGTAGTTGTTTTAAACTTAACACCTATCCTGAAGGTAAAATCAGTAACAGGAGTGGTACTTACAACAAAACACTGCCCCACACCCCCCAAATGTTTTAATTCTTTCATGTTGTATGTACAGTAATTCCCTTTAATAGTCACCAGATGGGCTTTATCTGAGACACATAATCCTGCAGTTGTTGAACACAGAACATTCATTGGGTAGTGCTTCAACAAAAGCACAGCTTAGCCTGACATGTTAACATTGCTTATAGTCCAAAAGAGGATATTTTTATAAATTTCCTTAGCAACCCTGCTGGTTTGACCCACTTGACAAATATTTGCTCTTTGTAAAAGGTGATAATTTCATACAAAAGAGAGTGTCCCTGGAATGTCTGACTAAAAACACTGTTTGCCACATGATAACAGGATGCACTTGGACAGGCCAACAATCAGAAAAAAGAAGTGATAAAGGCTCCAACAGTGGGAATGCTCCCATAGCTGAATTCCAACTGAAATTCCTTCCCAAGGCTCTGAAAAGTTGAGAGAATTTTTCCTGCATCTGCCTTTTCTGCCTTTTCATTAATTGCACAAGTTCTCTACACAGATTGCAATAGCAGTGCTCTTCCCAGAATAGTCTATTAATGGGCGTGATAATAAGTGCCCTGTTCTTGCACAAGGGCAAAATGTTTTGCTAAAGATTGCTGATGCTGAGTTGCACCCAAAACCCACAAGATGTTTGTGGGATTTGGAACCATTCCCTCATATTTTACTCCTGTTCCTAATGTTTTGCAGGATTGCACCCACAGGGGATAAACTACAGAGCTCATATTTGCACTTCCTCATGACTAATTCCTATTATTCCAAAGTCTGCTTGATTTTTCCTCAGCATGACTGAGGCAGCACATACAGTCCAGCTCCTGAATGACTCCAGAGCTGCTGTTGCAGTTACTCATGTTGAATTGCACCCATGAATTTTGCAGCTTTCCTGGTGAAAAGAAATGCTGCTCAAGCTGAGAAAAGAGTGGTGAACTAGCTTGAAATTTATTAGTCTAACTAAGAGGCTGGTTAAATCAATGGTCTTAGACACACTCAGATTCTGATGAACTCTTAATGACCCAAAGTAAGGACTTTGAGAGCACTTATTCTGAAAAAGTCAGAGATAACAAATATAACAAAGAAGGCAAAGATAACACCCACCCCTTCACATCTTCACAGTCACCTGTGGGAGATCTTGGAGGTGATGGTATCCTCCAATACTCTAAAGGAACTGGCAAAACACCATGAGAAATCCTGCCTGTCCAGGTGTTTCTAAAAATTCCAAACCACCCTTAGGTTCTTCACCTGTGAGATTTCCAACCTTCCCCATGGATGGAAAGATAACCCCAAGACCTTTGGAATGCTGGTCCGACACAAATTGCATTGCTGAATATTTTAAAGTAAAAATCCACCCACGAAGAGGGCCATGTGTGTTACCTTTGATAAGGCAGAATTCACAAACACTGGGTGACAATCTGCTCCCACATTCTGCTACATTTCCCTACATGGAGCCCTCACTCAGTGCAAAGGAGCAGAAATGCCCAGACAAGTCCACAGACTTGTTGAAATTCTGGGCTGGCCCTTGGAGAGGTTCTTTCTGACTCAGAGCCCTATCAAACCAAGTCAAACTTTAAGAGTAGTTTCACTGCAACCTGCCTGTGAGCCAGGACACTCCTTCATGCATATTCAAATGACAAAAACAGATCTATAATTAGTACTGGGGAAAAAAAATGTTTGGTGCAGGGCAAGCAGGGACAGTGGAGAGAGGAGCACTCTCCTCCCAGCTTGGAAGCCTGCTGTAGGCTCCTTCAAAATCCCTTTCCTTCCGACATTCATGGTGACTCCTGATGAATTTTGAGACCTGGAGGAATCAGATAGTTTCCCACTCACGTCATGTGCTTCTCTGGGGCAGCCTGCACAAGCGGGGCTCCTGATGGCACCAGAGTTGCCTCTGGACCTGTCACATGTTTTTGGGTCAGTGGTAAGCTTGGTCCTCCTAAATGCCATTTTCCTTTGACTGACCTTTCATTCTGAGGAATTGTTGGATCAGTCCCTGTCACAGGATCTATCCGCAGACCTTTATGACATTTAGAAAAGGGTGCATTTCTTAGAGCCATTCTGCCTAAAAACATTACTGCAGCTCTTCATTAGCTCCTCCAGCAGCTTTCTCGGGAACAGGAATAAAACCCTCCCCTCACTCTTTTTTCCTGCTGTGAATTTTGCCAGACACAGCATGAACTTCTCGGTAACGTACAGCTCTAGGACAAAGATGATAAGGCCTTGTTTCTGTAAGTATTTCCATTTTCTTACCTCTCATCTTTGCATTAATAATGTTCTGCTCAAGCAATACTCTCTGGAATCAGTGTTCTGATGCAAATATCAAGCACCATGATAATTATTACAATACTGTAATTTACTACTGTGTTTACAAAGAATCACAATATAATGCAGCACCTTCACATACACCAGAGGCTTCAGACGCCCTGGCAAGCTGGACCTCCTGAAGCTGGGCTACAGCAAGAATAAAATATTGATATCATCACGGATGTTTATCTCTCTTTCTCATGTACAGGCATTCATTGGGTCTTATTTCACTACATATCTGTAGAGCCCTGCCTTGGGACTGCAACAGTGACAGATGAATGCTTGTCCAGTCAAGACACACTTTGGCACATCTCACCACTCCTCACCATCAGAGGCATCAGGGGAGGCAGCAGAGAGGGGTAAGTTTGTTTTGAAAAAAGGCTCTTCTCCAATATCCCCTGAGCAGTGGGTGCTGCTGACACAGAGCTGCCTCACACACTGTCTAGGCATAAACATCTCCCCCCTCTGAATCCAGATATTAAACTGCTCAGCACTACTCAGGTTCTCTTGGAAATTAATGTCCAAGGTTTCTCTATAGCAGTCCCATCTCCTGCTGCATGAACAGAGTAAAAAGATGTAGTAAAAACATGCTGAGCCTGCTAATTTCCTGTGTGCAGCTACTGACAGGAGCTCCTCAACTTCTAGAACTGGCCCATAATATGCCAGGGGGTTCCAGGAGGGCAGAGTGCCCAGTTAGCCCTCCCAAGGCGCTGATTTGGGAGTGTCCCTGGTGTCTGACCCTGCAGGGCTGGGCACGTGTGTGCTCACAGCTGAGTGCAGCACTGTGGGAGCGGAGCCCAGGCCACGGGCCATGCAGGCTGCATACATATCTACAGCTGCTGAGCCAGGCAAAATCCCAGGAAAGCACCTGCTGCTTCACCTACAGCTGCCAGGGAGGTACAAAAAGGCTGAAGCCTGGCTCTGACTGACCTCCCATCCCTCGCTGCTACCAGTGTCTGTCCCGTGCTCTAAGGCAGCATTAAAAGGCAGATGAAATTACTGCTCAAGCAGCCAGTGTCATGATCTCTGCCGTCCTGGACTCCAGCTTTGTGTTGTGTGTGAGTAGAAATGCTCTAATTTGAGTGCAATACCCTGTGCCTGCTCACTATAGCACTGCTCTTTCCTTGTTTGTGGGCAAGGCAACACCTCAAGAACAGGAGAGCAACAGCATAAGGGATAGTTCTGAAACCTGAAAACATTTCATTAAACCAGACTGTTAAAATAGTGACTTCATATATTTATTAATGCTAATATGTATCATCTCTCTGGCTAGGGGGAATGAATCCTGTCAACTGCCATCTGCCTGCACTCACAGGCCAAAGCTGCAGAATGGATCCTTTCAAGGTGGAGCAGCAGAGAGCAAGTGCCTTCTGGCCCTGAGTATAAATCCTGGAGGAGTCCCTACACTGTGCTCCCCCTAATTTCTTAGCCATTAGGCAGTGATTCTTGGAAACATCAGCCTTTTTTAAGCACCAAGAATCTCCAATCTGTGATGCTCCTGAACACAGCAATTACTTCTTGTAGCATTTTCTCATGGGGTATGGGAGAAGGGCATGAAAACGAGGCCCCAGGTAGATATTCCATCCAAGATTTTCAGGCATTTTTGTAGTCAGGAAGGGAGAGGAAACTCTTGCAGTTTTCCACCAGGCAAGGACAGCTCTCTATGGCCACAGGGCACTGCTTTTAAACCCCGTCTCAGTGGAGAGGGCGCAGCTGGTTCTACAGCCTGTCTGAACAGAAGGAGCTTGCTCAGAAAGTTAAGCCCCACCTCGACACAAGCCCAGTGTGGGCAGGTTTTCTTAAGTCCCCCTTGTCCTCAACCCAACAATGTGAGAGAATAATTTCTCTACTGCTCTGGCTGAGGGAGAAGGGTGGGATTTGACATCTACGGATGTGACTCGGGAAGAAGTGATGAGAATGCAGCTGCCTCCCCCCGTGCTTTGTTGTTATTCTTTCTCCAAATACAAACTAAATATAACTTTGCCCGATAACATTCAAATAATTTTAGTTACTAGCAGGGATCATGCCTGGAGTTCCAGGGGCCAGGGTGCAATCAGGCTTAAAATATAATTTCAACAATCCAGAAACTACATTTTCCACAAAGTTATTTTCTTGCTTGTAGTTTCCCCATCTGCAAATACATATAAACACAACCAGAAAGAAACCAACAAGCTCAGCCAGATGCCAAGTTTTCTGTTCAAGATCATATAAACTCAGTCAAACATTAACAAGGAAATGCCATGATCACCTCATTTGTTTTAAATATTTCTGCTCATATACATGCAGACAAGTGTGCAGATTTATTTGCCTCATTTACGAATACAAGCAACTGGAATCCCCATTCTGTTCCATTATATAAAAGACAGACCCTACACCTGTCTCACTGAACAGCTGGGCAATTTTCAATTTATATCCACTATCCTACACCACAGAAAAGCCCCACTTGCTGCTCTGCTGCTGACACTGCTTTACTAGCATTCCTGCTCTCCTCCCCAGTGCCTTGGGAAGGGATAGTAGTTGCCATTTCTTGGCAAAAGGAGTTATGTAAAACCCAAGAAAGCTTCTTTGCTTTAGCAAATAGCTATTTCCAGGAAGCAGCAAAAACAACTTCTAGAAGTGTATTTAAGACACAAGAGTGGAATAGCCTGGAGCTTCCTGTCCATATTTCTCACAGACAAAAACACACACACATGTAATTATATCTTCCTGGACTGCACTGCAAAGTTCATGCACTCATTCAACTCATACATGTAGTAAACATGATTTACAGCTCTGTGTGAAAACCCTCTAAATATATGATGTTTTGATAGTGACTCAAAACCCAGCACTATAATTTAGTAACACCTAGCAGTGAAAGCTAAATGATTTCCCACTTCACATTCCTAACTTTCCATGAACCCCTTTTTACTGCTAAGCTGGGGGGGAGATACTGCTTCTGCAATTGTTTGGACTTATCCTTGCTATTCCTACAACTGAACTGCTCACTAATATCAAGCTTCACATATGGTGAACGCACCAGCACTGACCCATGTCCTATGAGACCATTTGCCATCACACAGTTCAAAGTGAACTTTATTAACACATTAAACATAATTACAAAGAGGAAATTCCAAGGAAGGTCAACAAGCCCGGACAGTTTCTTGGAATGGAAAGTAATTTATAATATCCACATACTGTATTGTAAAGTTTATAAAGAAGTTAAATAAGTTTTAAGAGCCCCATGGGTTATGTATATTTTATTATTTAATACCAAACACATTCACTTTCTATGTAGATAAGACTTCTTTTGAAGTTCTGTGTTAGCAAATTAGCAAAGTCATTTACAATGAAGCACCCAAACAACCCATCAACACTTGGAATTAGCATGAGGGGCTGGAGTACCACAGACAGTGTATGTCCTGTGAGGAAAATAGAGCTAAGCACAGAAATGTTTCACTACAGCAGTGAGATGAAGGAATTGGAGAGAGATTACCAACCAAACTGCTAGTTTGGTGTAAACACAATCTCTTACACCAAAACTTGAAGCAACATTTGGCCTTCACCATGCTCATCACTGTAAAACCTGAGCTTCCAAAGTCTTTACTACCAGGGTGGTTCACAGCAAAGTGGATTTCCTTTACCTTTCCCATGCTTCAAAATGTACACAGGCAGCTGGAAAGGGCCACCTAAAAGCCATATTTGAAACACACATCCAGAGTTGCCTATCTTGGGGTATCTGCTGCTGCAAAGCTGGGCTGGACAATTCCTGCTTACAACCAGAGTTTAACCTCTTCTACAATAGTTTAACCCTCTCTGCAAGACCAAGATGAGGATTATGTAATCACACTCTCTGCATATCATTAATACCATTATTTGTATTGGCATTCTGACTGTAATGGTGGATGAAAGGACAGAGGCCTGGCTCTGCTAGGACAAACTCTACCAAGGAGCAAGTCCCACAGGGAAGGCTTTACAGAGCAGTGTTGGGAACAGTTTCAATCAAGAGGAGTAGGTGTTCCTGAAAGAGAGGAACTCTTGGCTCTCTGCACAGTTGGAAGCCATTACACGGAGAGCAGAACTGATAAAAATGCTTTTTGAGAGAGATAAAAGGATGAATGTGTTGCCCATGGATCCCATTAACTAATGGAATAAGCAGTTCAAAGGACTGGTGAATCCAACATCTTTTCATATTTTCAAAACAAAACAGTTTGCATTTCCAAAAGGTATGTGTTAGCCAAGCAAAGTAGGGGTCAGCGTGGGGGTAACTGGTCCAAATGCTTTGGTATGTGACATGAGGAGATCAGATTAGATGAGCTAATGGGTCCTTCTTGGCTTGAAAACATAGGCGCCCACAGACAAAAACAATGCTTATCAAAAACAATCAAAAGATTAAAGAAAAAACCAACAGCATCTCCGTAGAACAAAGACTCTGAGTGAGGAACACAAAAACACCACAAGTGTTTGCTGACCAGCCCTGATGGCTGGTCGGGCTTAGATTTGGAAATCATGGACTGTTTGCAGAAGCAAGCTCCAGGCTTGGGGTGCATGGCTCAGCCCAACAACCTGATGGAGAAAACAGCTCTGCAGATCCATTTCACAGCAAGTGAAGTGCCATATCTTCTCTTTCTTCCCTTCCTCTGTGGTAGGAGTTGCTTTGCTGATGACATGGATATTTATTGATAGCACAAAAAGCACCTGCCATATTTTTACATGAGTGATAACTAGCCCCTTGTGTGAAGGCTGCCAGTAAATTTCCTACTCTAGATGTTCCAAAACTAAGAAAACTAGAATATCTGGGAACATGTTCCATTTAATTAAGTGCCCTGCATACACATTTCACTGACATTTAATAAAATAGTTATTGTATGTTAAACAATTGGCACTAGATTATTGCTTAGATTTATTAGTTCAACAACAGTAGATGAGATACGTATCTCTTACATAGTTTCTAAATCCTTTGAGCATATGTTTTCAATAATCAGTTGGTATTTATTTAACATGAAATTACCATCTTATTAAATTAAATGTGCATGGGTGACATTCAATTTCAGTTGTTGCCAAACATTTTTTCAGCAGCAAAAAATAGTAACTTTATCCCTCAGGTTTCGAGGTAGCAAACGCATAGGAGAGTTAGGATTACTTCAAATTACTTTTGAAGAAACAGACTTCATATGCTGGAAAGTTTCTAGCGTGGAAGAAATTATATTATTTATTGTTTCTCAAGTGCTGCCAGTGGGATTACTGTGGGCCAAAGGAGAGGACTAATATTTCTACTCAAATGCTAAAATTATACTGACGGTGCAGTTCAGGTATGCAGCTAGATGGATAATCAGAATACTTTTTTTAGAGAAGAGATAAGTATAACAAAGGTGTGTTGGCACACACACCCTCACAATCTATCTCTTCCATTCCCATTCAAGAAGGCAAGCCTATCTAAAAAATTTAATTCCTAATTTATTTGGCATTTTTTCAAAAGAAATGGCCTTAAATCATGGCTTAAAGTTTTTTAAAATTAGAAGGGGTTTGTTTTTGTTTTTTTTTAAGTCTGCTATTTCCAGGAAGGACAAGCATAATTCTGGAAGAAAGCTAGAAATCCTCTGGCTTGAGGGAGGATCCAGAACCCAACTGAAATTCCATCGCCCCAACCTGCTCTCTCCAAACCTAACCCAAACCTCCACCATCTCCACCACAGGTCACAGAGGGACCATTCCTGCCAACACAAGCCATTTGTTTGCTTCCCATAATCTCTGGGAAACAATTCAGTCAGGCAGCCCTGAATTACCTTCTGGTTGGATCTACCCAAATTTTAACATAAATACCATTGTACTATGCCCTTCCAACTGTTTCCCAGCTATGCAAATCCTGCTTCACAAGCCTAGTGGATTTTCCAGCCAAATCGCCCACATCTTTAAAACTTTCAGTAAAACAAACACTCCGCAAGACTCAGTTTAATTCACTTTTTTTTTTTTTTTTTTTGTAACAAAACTCCCCTTCGAGCCACCAATAGCAACTACATTCCAAATCCCCAGGCTCCAAAGATAGGTGTTCATTTCTGAGACAACCTTCTCTGATTGTTGTCCCCTTCTTTGTTCCTCCTTCCTGCGGGCAGCATTTTGTCACCTATCCATTTGATCTGAACAGCTCCTAGAAAATAGGATGCCCAAGTTCATGTCTGGTGACACAGGCTCCTCTTGAGCCTTGGTAGTCAATATTTAACCCATCTGAGCACTGTGCAGGGTTTAATAAGTAATTAGACGTTTCCCTTATGGACAGGCTCTTGTGTGAGCATTGTGCAAGCAGGAAATGGCAAGTGTCATTGTTTATGTCTGCAGGAAAACAGAAACCACGATGGTTGACTCTGTGCCATACACGGGAACGATGCAAACACGGACCTTTAAATAGCTGGTTTGCCTTCCTGCTAGCCCACAGCAGCAAGTTTTCAGCCATAGACTGACACAGGAGCCTTTTTCACTTGTATCCAAGGAATTGCTTTTCCTCAAAATATTCTTAAAAACCTTTTTAACCAGAATTTGCTCTAAGGTATAAAAGTGGAGAAGACTTTAAACTCTTCCATCCACTGCTGGCTCCTACTGGCCTTTCCCAATACCCACGATGGAAAAGGTATGGTTAGTGCATGAAGGACTCAGAAGAAAACCATCTTGAACACTCACTCTTGATCATGAGACTGCCAAAATATCCCTAAGCCTTCTGCTGTTGGGAAACCAGTGGCAGTGCCCTGCATGGCAAGGCTGCTCGCAGCCCTCCCTTTCCTCTGCCCTCGTCTCTGGGGGCTTCTATGTTTGGTCACCACAAAAGCATGGTAACAACTGTTTGATGGTGACCACAAAGAGATAAACATTGTGGTATTTAAGAACTGGAGATATTTTCAGAGGCTTCTCTAGAACAGAAAGCATTTCCAGCTGAATGGCTGCATAGCAGGCTTGGTATGGAGCCTTTGGCAGAACTGTTTTCCTATGAGAAAATCACATTTTTGTCAAGACACAAGACTTTACCTGGTTTTCTCTTTCAAAGAGTTTTGCCTGGTTTTGTCCCCTTTTCAGCTTGAGAAATATTTTGGGTAATAATTTTGGCCAATCAAAGTAAAACACATGCAAGCAAAAAGTTGTGATTTTAAAAGTGTGTTGATTAAGCAATGGTAATATTTTAATTGGTTGTTGTGTTCCTAAACTCTGAAAACAGAATTGATTTTGGACAGCAATCAACAACAACAACAACAACAACAACAAATATATATATATATGTATACACACACACACACATATATATATACCTATGTCTATGTGTATATTTATATACATAACTTGTCTTGCTCTGGAAGAAAAATTGAAAGTAAAAAAACAAATTTTGCTCCAAAAGAAAAATTCAACACACTTTTAAGACAGTAGCATTTTAAAATCCTGCCTGAAACTATTCACTGCTGCCCTACCAAAACCTCCGTGGTAGATGTGATAGGAGCTGGCTCTTTCTCTCTGAATCAAAGTCTCATCATAAAGGTCTACCTTACATATGCCCACATCAGTGTCTTAACCTGGACCAGAGACATACTTTAAAATTATTTTTTTTATTTTCACCACCAATTATACTTTGCTTCACATCATGAAGCTGTTTTGGTGCACATGGACTAAGTTGCTTTTGTGTGAAATTGAGCTGCAAGGGGCAATTAGTTCTTAGAATTAGAATAAAGCTATTCTGAAGTGAAACACTCCTCTGAAATGGAGGAGCCACCTCCTCAAAACCAAATGTTTTGCTTTATAGATCCAATCTTCCCAAACCTCACCAGCTGCTAATGCAGACAGTCAGCAACTGCTACCTGGGCCCCAGGGAAAACAAAAGCAGAAGCTGTCCTCTGGCATTTGCATTAACGAGCACTCAACCTACATGACCAGGCTGGAGCTGATCCAGAATAAACTCCCAAAGTGCCTTTAGTGTGAACATCACCTCCTCAGCACCAAATATTTCACTTGAAAGATTTGTTTCATTGCAGAATGTTATGCCAATCTAGCTTATACAC